AAAGCACTGTATCGAACGGTTCAATATCGATACGAGTATTGTTGCACCCCTACTATGAACATCAAGGTGCTAATGAAAAAATCAACCTAGTAGTTCACGTTTCAGTATACTCGCTGGCCTATGCTGGTACTGCAAGCTGGTATTTGACTGTGATGGAGTAAATGTGGTGTTAATTGCGAGCGGTGTTTTAACTGTGGACAGATTGAGGCTGACTTGATGGATTTTAACTACATGCTGCTACAAACAATTTTCCTCTTAGCAGAAGCAACTCCCTGTGTTTTAATTGAAAAAGGGGAATGGCACTGGTTTTCTTTCAGCTTCTTTGAAAGGTGCCATGCAGTTATTATATGTATGTAGGCTGATGTTCTGCAAAATATGTGTATCTGTAACCTAGCCCCCCCCCAATAAAAAGTGTGATGATTAAGCCAGAAGATGAGTAGCTTAGTTAAGCATAAAACTTGAAGCAGTGTAAACACCTTGCATATCACTATTCAGATATTAAGATTTCTTAGGCTCATCACTTTATTACCTACAAAACTGTATAGAACCTGGAAGCCACCAGAAACAGTGTTCAAAGTCTTCATGCTGAGCTAAGCTAATCATCTCCAGCTTCACGGTTATTTAGACCCATCCAACTCTTGGCAAGTAATAAAAACAATGATAATAACTCCTCTAATAAAGATAAGTCAAAGTTGCTTTTCCTTGACTTGGATGTCTTGTTTCTTTATTTAAAGGCTCTGTCCAGTGAGTCCTTTGAGCGTCTGCCTGTCTTCAACAAGTCGGCGTGGAGGCATTACAAGACAAGCCCCGAGGCGGACGATTGGAGCAACCCCAGCAAAGAGCCACGTGATGCCAGCAAGTCCAAATACAAAGCCAACAGATAACTCTGCCCAGCTCGCTAGCAAAGCCTTCCCCAGGGAGCCTAAATGCCGGCACTCTGCATAGAGCATGCACGATGAAATGTTGCCCTTGGGTAAAACGCCTCGGTTAGGATTAGACCTGCTTTCACATTCCAGTTGCTAAAGGTTCTGAAAGGATGGATGTCCTCCACTCATATCGGTACCCAATGGCAATGGCCTTCATCAGCGTAGCTTTCACTGTCGTGGCTTCACCACTGGCTGTAAGACAAGGTTTAAAAGACCCCCAGTGTCCAACCCCTTTAAAAATATCTGGTTACTCTCGTGAACCTTTACAAAGATGAACTTCATTTCTTCAAATTGACTTTCTAGCAGTACTGCCATCTCTTCCTCTGTCTCACTCACATTGGCCTGCTGCTGACTAGGCTACTGCTCTGTGCAGCTGAATAAGCTCCCCTCACGCTGCTGATTGAGCGTCTTTTTCAGTAAACGCTCGTGTTCTGTTTCTTTCTCGCCACACACAGGCAGAGTCAGGAGAAAGGGGTTAGTTTGAGTGCAAGTTAGAATAGGAGGAGGTTTTACTTCCTTCCTTTCGGATACACTCTTCACTGAACGCACAATTAGGCCGGTGTGCCCTTGGTATAGAGACTTGTTTTGGCCGCCCTCCGTTTTTAGCTTGGGGGGGGGGGATAGGAACCAATGGATGAAGCATACACTTTATTCTTAAAGCTTCTAAAAGTCAGGTTTTTATTTAATGAAAAAGAGAGCGAGCCTTACTTCTGGTAACGTATGGCATATTTATTGTTTTTAAAAAGCCCGGCTTTGAAGGCTGGAACTTGAAGAGCATTTAAAAAGGGACGATGTTAGAAGTGAAAAGTTGAGTGTTTTTTTACTCAACTTTGTTTAGCTTTACGCTTAGAGGATAACCAGCCACCTGCAGACCATTAACAAATGGTACTAACCCTCAAATATATTTGCTCTTTGTCCTGATTTAACAACTACTAACAGACAAATGGAGCATCTCTCGGATGCTTAGGAAATGAGTTGTGTATTCACTGTGATTCAAATGATAGTAGCATCATCATTATTACTCATTTATCTTTTCCAATGATCATAAGAGACTTTACTCGAGTAGCCACGATGCACTTGCATAATCTGAATTGCTCATCAATAAATCGTAATTAAGTTTTTTGGGGTTTTTTTTAGTCAGTTTGTCCTCTCAGCAAAACAGCGGATGGAGGAAAGCGCAGGGTTGCAGTAGGAGTACTGCAGTCGTGTCATTTTTCAGCCACACCAGCACCATGTATTGCTTAGAAAAAAAAAACCCTTGCTAAATGCGATGGATCTGCTGGGATCACACTTGGACTATTACAAAAAAAGTGGGATTACAGCTTTTATTTCGACACTTCCTATTTCGTCCTGCCGGCACACCACGGTGGATAAGCAGCTTGCTCGCATCTTTGCCCTTTTTTTATTCCTAACAATGCTTCATCGGGTCAGCGTGTATCTATTTTGTGGTACTACTAATCCTCATGGTCTTCTGAGTTTGAACAAAGTTCTACTTTTTTTTATGTGCTTGTGCTTTTTTTTTTAACTTGAGTGAAAATAACTAAATTAGAAGCTAAATGTAAGAGCAGATACTGTGACAGGCTTTTAGTTTATTTGTACGATTGTGCACAATTTCGCTTGGCTTTTTTTGTCTTTTGGCACTGATACGTGATTGCTTTTAATTCATCTTTTAGTGATTTGTAAGTTTTTAACTTGATTTTCTTTCCTTATTTATACAATAGGAAGTCATGTGGCACACACAGTTGAGGGTTTGGATAAGTCGGCAGAGGAAAATGTGGTCAAAGAAGCAGAGTCTCCAGGGCACTGAAAGTTGTGCATCAATCCATCCACTTTTTTTTTCTCTTTTTTTGGCACATGGATCATATTCAGGAACCTTTTTTTGTGCACTTTACTAATCCTACGTGTATATTTTTAACCTCGTGTAGCTTTCATGCAATCACTCCAGACCTACCACTCCAGAAGAGCTAATTAAATCGGATCCCAGGTCAGGATTTACTAATAGTGATGCAATTTTTTTTTTTTTTTGAGGCTGCTGAAAAAGACCAAAACTTAAATGAGTCATGGCTCAAACCTGGATTTATTTAAAGCAAATGTTGGGAGATTTTCACAAATACGAAGAGACTTATTTTCCTCATGTCATTTAGCTTCACCTGACATGTAAAGAGAGAAACTCTGTGTGGAAACCGACATATTAACCATCAGATTTCATCACTGCCAATTCCTTTGTGACCTGCCAGTGTGGCTGATACCCTGTGAATAACCTACCATAGAGGATGAGCTGCGTTATAGGTTAGTGGTTGATGTGTAGGCCAGTGTGGTCCTGTTGTTGACCAGTCACCTAAAAACCACATCTTGATCAAATTTATACTTCCAGTTTCCATCATTTATTGAAATGAAGATCTTCTACTTGTAGTAGTTTACTGTTTAAAGACCTTCTATGTGGTAAGAGTATTTTAGAAAATCATAAGCATGTATGTATGCATGCATGTATATACTGTACATGCAGCGAGTGATGAGTGTATTTTCCAGCCTACTGTACATCCAGCTTAAATACTGCATTTGGAGTCTCCTGGATAAGAGGTGGTCGTGCAACATCAACATACACCAAAAAAAAAAAAGGTTTGGTGTATGTTGGTCTTATAACGTGATTCAGCATGAGATGAACTTCCAATACCAACTGTCAAACATTACAATAAAAGAGATTTGCTGTTGTGTGTAATCGCTGTGTTCAGTTTTTATCCACGTTGTAACCAGATTGGGGTTTTTTTCCACAGTGTTGAAACATTCTGGTCCACACCACATATGGCGCAATTATGCATGATTACATTAAACAGTTCATGTCCTGCATTCTTTTCTTTTTCAGCCATTCTGTTGTAGAATTGCTGCTGTGCTTGAGATTGTTATCCTGTAGCATGACCCAGTTAGAGTCCAGCTTTAACTGACTGAAAGGTGACCTCACATTTGACTCTATAATACTTTGGTATACAGATGAATTCATGGTCTGCTTAGTGACTGGAAGGTGTCCAGGTCCTGTGGCTGTAAAATAAGCCCTAATCATTACCCCACCACCACCGTGCTGACAGCTGTGTTTGGGTTTCTCTGCTTATTATGGGAAAAATCCAGAGGTCTTGTGGTTTGTTCAAATGCAGCTTTGCAAGCCTGAGCTGTGCTGTGTTCTTTATATAGAGAAAACCCCTCCCGACCTAAAAAAACTGCTGAAACCTCTGCTTTCACACTTACTTATCCTTCTAATTGTTGAGGACGGTGGAAATAATGATACAGTCTAATAGGTCGTATCTTGTTTCACATACGTAGTTTTTTAAAACAGCTAAGGATTGGATTATTTTTATGTCCTGATATTTGAAAAAGTAGAAGTGAAAGACTCCATACCTTCTTTTTCACATGACCACTACCTACACCAGTTTCCATATATGTGTGCTATCTGGGTTTTATATTGTTTTTAATATCAAACTACAGTGTAACAGTGTAGGAAATACCACACAGACCATCACTGGAGTTTAACAGTGTTCTTTGCACATTTCCCACTACTTCAACTCTTTATTTGCACAAAGTTGAGTCAGCTATTGAACTAAAGTCATTTCCTCCCCAGTCTCTATTGACCTTTAACTTTTTAGCATCAATTAAAAAGTCTAAAAGTCTGCTTCATATTCTGTTATACATTTTTTTTTCTTTTATTCACATTTTTGATTCATTTGAACATTAAAATGAATAATAAAAAAAAGACACACATTTCCAAATGTTGTTCATATAGTGCAGATTAACATGTAGTGCGTACAGGACATTAAGATCTCTACGTTGCATTATAGGGTACTTACTGTGTTGTTGGGGTGGAAGAGAGGTCTGCTCAGATGTGAGCAACGTACATTTGTAATCATCGCAGCGAGAACAGCGCTATGTTCAAGCCCGACGATTCACCCGCTGAGCTTTAATATTTTTGAGATATTTCAAGTATCGTCAGAGTTTGTCAGGTTTTTGTGGACGGCTGACATCAGATCCCAAAGAGCCAAAGAAATCTCTGCTAAACATGAAAAACGACTTAAAAAATGACATGGCTTTTTTTTTTAATGGTGAAAATCCACAAGTGCTTCCTTTAACAGGTGAGACGCAACCTTTCATATGGCTAGATGTGAGAGTGATAACATTACCTCTTTGTGGAGTCTAAAAGATGCAATTTACATTCAAGAGGTTAATAAACAAAGGCTCTATTTTTTCTATTTCATCAAACTATTTGGTGCATGAAGCCTCAAGGATTGGATTTTGTGTCTCTTTTGCAATCATCAAAAAAAAAACCAAAAATGTGAGCTTTAAAAGTTGTGTTTGTCTTTTTTTCTGTATCTTGATGGGTTTTGCTTAGGATTTTTTGCACATATCATCTGCATTTCAGAAACTTGACAATATACGTTCTTCTTCTGGGCTCCTGCAGAGAATTTCATATGTATATCTTAGAAGTAACTTGTGATTAGTGAATTTCAATGTGATCGTTTTTGTGAACACGGTCTGAAACAGCAAAGGCCGTGCGTTATCCAAGCATCGCCTCAGCTACTCTAGGGTTCGCAGGGGTCTGTCGTTTAAATTCTGTTTAACTAGCACAAAATTACACAAAATGAATGAAACCAGTTTCGGTGTAGACGATATGTAGAACTGAATGTAAGACGAGGTGTTCCTGTAAGTCTGTGCCTACTCACGCATAGCTATCACACCGGTTACAAGAAAACTAGGCATCTTGAAGAGAAAATGATAATCTCACATAATAAGACAAAAAACCCAAACTTATGATATAATAAGCAAGCTGTTTGACAGTCTCTATCAGTGCTGGACAGTCAAAGATGCTGCACGGGATTTTTGTCCTTACAAAATCTGACACTGTGTCCTCATCTTCTTCCTTCCTCTTCCTCCTGTCTGCTTGGTTGCCCAGAAACAACAGAGACAGTGATGGCTTCTTAGCTCTGCAGCTCAGATTCCCCATGATCACCGTCTGCATTGCATATTTGCAACATCCTTGAGGGTAACTGTTTTTCAGTTTGTCAGCCAGTGTTTGGAGGAGTGTGTGCATGTGTTTGTGAGTGAGGTGTGCTCGTGTGTGAGTGTGCGCGTGCGCGGGTTGGTGTGACCGTCTACTTCTCGTCTTCATCCCCTTCGCTCATGCTGCTTATAGAGGCAGACGCTCCTTTTGGGGAGGTGGGGGGCGAGGGCCGCGCGTTGTGCCAGCGGGCGGGGGGAGACGGGGGAGAGGGTGAGCGCAGGGGGGAAAGTTCGCGGGGAGGGCTATTGCTGGGCGACTCTCTGGGAGACAGAGCGTAGGAGAGCATTCGACCACTGCGCTCCTGAAACACTTGTTTCTGCACAGAGAGGGGAAAGAAGATTGAAATGTTAGGAAATCAGATCACATGAGAAAACTGAATGTGACGGGGCAAGCTCTGCGGCACTGCTGCGGGGAGGCAGACACACCAGAGCTGCATCGGCTCATCACGCCTCCCCTGCAGCGGCGCCACAGACTGAGCCCAACCACACTGGACTTGTTATCACATCAAAGTACAAGCGACAGGGAATAAAACTTGAAAATGTGTCAAAGACATTCCAGTGACCAAACGATATTAAGTATTTAAAAGTTTTTTTCTATATTTAGTAAGCGTTGACATTGCATTGCAGCGTTACTTACCCATGTCCCATCAGGTCCAAATAATTCTAGGAAGTTTCCGATGAATTCTCTGGATTTTTCTTCCCATTTCTGAATGAGGTCGTGACTCTTCTCCTCCACGCGGTAAACAAAATGCTTGCTCTTTTCCTCGACTGTGCGAACTTTCTCCTTCATCCGATCCACTTGGTTCTGTAGCCGGTACTTCTTCTCCTGAAGGCACAAAATATTGCGGATAATTGCCACGTTTTTGGAGAACCAGAACCTAAATCAAAAATTGTGAATGTTGTAAATAGGAAGCATATGTCTGAGGTCAGTTTTCAACACCGCAGCTTTGTAGTCACATCGCAAATTAAGCTCCATACAACTGTGATGCACAATATCCAAAGAGCTGTTACTTTCTCAAAAGAAGAAAATCAGCTTTTTGTCACATTAATCTGTGCTAAGCTGATGTTTAGAAATACAACACAGTGCAGTAAAATGCTCTCACATTGATGTAGCTGACATTAAGCTCCTTGGCCGTGTAGCCACGTTGAAGGTTGCGTCGGGCGTAGACGTCATAGTCTCTGACAATTCTCGTAATCAGGTCAGAGGTGGAGATTCCTTCTGTGCGTTGCGTGGGTACAAACATCCCTAATATACACACACACACAGCAGGTAAGTTTTATGTTATTTTATTTATTTTATGTCCTTTTAATCATCAGACACTGACCTGCCTCCTTGATGTGTTTGTAAACGTCCTCACTTCCTGCTGAGGAGTATGGAATATCATCATGAGCCACAAAATCGATCTGAGGAACAATCAAAGGACACGCACTGTTGGTACACACAAAAGTGAACGTGCAGCAGAGGTCTTTCAAGGGCAAAATATGCATGCTTAAAGTTAGACATGGCATGGTCATGAACACATCACTGCACACAGAATTTCGGGGTAATAGTCACAAGCGTCTCATCATTAGAGGTCTCCTAAATAGTAAAGAAAATTTCCTTACTCACAGCATAGCATCCTCTTCAAATACTACTACTACTACAGCTACTCACTAGCTACAGGTATTAGGTCACAGGTGACAGGTTTGTGTAAGTGAATGTGTGCAATATAGTAAATTTACTAATACTTCTACTTGAAGCACTCGAGCTTCATTCACCCGTTTACACACATTCACATAGCGCGTTTACTCTCTTCCTCTAAGCATTTCATTCGTACACTCAGACAGATGCACTGAGGGCGAGTTGGGGTTCAGTATTTGGCCCCAGGGAGACACTGGGGATCAAACTACTGATCTTCTGATAAGTGAATGACCAGCTCTACCTGTATATCAAAGCACAGCAGCATTAAAGGAGCTAAACTAGATTAAACTAGGTTAGATTTGAGTGAAATATAATTGAATTTAATAGCAAAACTAAACTAAAATAAACGCAATTGCTAACACTGCCTGCACCATTGACTGAATGTGAGCAGGTAAGTTTCTTTCAGGTAAATTCACCCTGAAACCAAAAACTTTAAAGGCCAAGGAACTGTCAAGATCCTAATTTTGATCAACAAGTGTCTCAAAACAAAATATTTAATCCACTTTAAAGCTTATATAGTTCAAACCCCCGCCTCCCACACACACGCACACACACACACACACCTTGTGTTTCTCAAGGAACTCAGGCGTGAGAGTCCAGGGTGCATCTCTCAAGACCTCATCGACATAGCGGCAGTGTCTCAGCGCCTCGTAACGTTCGTGCTCCGTCATCACCGTGAAGCCCTTGTACTTGTGGGTCAGTTCATCACTGCACACTGTTTCAAGAGCACAGCAGCGACATACATAAAATCCCACGTGACGTGTGGTGATTAAATAACAAATCTGGACAGGTGAAACCGTACCAGTGTGGTCTGTCTTACCTCCTACTATGAGGTAGGTGTTTGGAAAGAGATTCTTGGCCTGCATGAGAGCACGAGCGTGTCCAGAGTGGAATAGGTCAAAGATGCCATCTGCGTAGACTCTGACTGGCCGGTCCACTGAAAATACAGAAACAAAAACAGAAAAACATCACGGGAACAGGTAAGCACAAATAAGTGAAGTGGTGTGCTGTTAGAGTAACAGTGGATATAGCCTCAAGTCAAACACAGAAGAATAAGCAGGCTGCAAAGTACTTTTGCACAGCTTTATCTGGAGCCACAGAGGCTCATTTAAACATTTTTAAATGTTTCAGAGCATGATCAAATTGGCAGTGCTTTTGGAGTCAAAGGATTTTTTTCCTCTTTATCGTTTTCTGACTGTTTTTCACCAGTTTTGGATTCGACTAGGGTCAGCATCACTGCTGGTAGCATGAGCCAACACCTGGACCCAACAGCGGTTGCACAGGTTGTCCAACTCCTCCAGGATTGCACATCAGTGGGTGCTATTGTCAGAAGGTTTGGTGTCTCCCAGCACGGCCTCAATAGCACGCAGGAAATACCAGGAGACAGACAGTTATTCTAGAAGAGCTGGACAGGGCTCGGTATCTGCTCCTTAGTGCAGGAGGAACAGGATGAGCACTGACCCAAAGAAATGACCTCCAGCAGGCCACTGGTGTGAGTACAAGCTACTGAGTACCATACTGAGTTGGTGCAATTAAACTTCAGCAAAACTGACTAGCCTCCTGCTTTCATTCCTAAACCATTACACAGTCCACGTCAATGTAGATATCCAGCATGATTTTTTTCCCCCCATTGAGATCTAATGTGTTTTCAAAGCATTACAATAATTTGTTTGAGCAGTTTATAGCCATACCTTTTTAAATAACATGCTAACAGACAGAAAGACAAAGACAAAAGAAAGAAAGAGACTCTTTTGTGGAAGTAATGAGTGTAGCTGAACTGCCAGCAAGTTACTGCAATATGTAGTTAAACCCCTACATTAATTACAAGTTCAGTCGTCCCCAGCAGTGGTAGTGACATGAAAAGGACCAGTAATGACTTGCCCATTTCAGTCCAATTATCTTGTAAAAACACATGCTATTATCTCACATACTATAATTAATGTAGCAGTGCAAGTACAAGAATACATGGGAAGTGGCAGCTGTAAAAATGGCAACAGCAGACAACAACACATTTAGCGGAAGGAGTTAGCACAGAATTAGTGGTGGTAATGACATCAGGGGTAAGAGTGTAGTAGCTGCTCTGAGAGTTCATAGTATAAACACTTGGAACAGAACCATTAGTTGCAACAGCAATAGGAGCTGTAGCAGTGCGTCGTAGTAGTAGTAGTAGAAAAATAAGTGATTGTGATAGAGTAGTGCAGTAGGAGATGTTGCAGAGGAATGCTGTAAATGGAAAACATCAAAGCTGGGAGAAGACTGTGCCCAAGACAGGAGGATACCAAACAGCAGGAGGTCTACCTGGGGTGCCTTTGCAGGCCTGAGCAATGGTGAGCTTCTCATGAGGCGCGCGACAGTCACAGCTGGTCTCATTGGCAAAGATGGCAGGCTCCGTGAGAGTCTGGGACAGAGAGTGACCAGGTTAAACAGAGAATGAACGAGGGAGACTGATGATAGTTACTTCAGCATCCAAAAGCATTGCAGAGAAACACACTCATCTATCACTTCAGCTATGCACAGCATGCCTCCTTTTTCACGCCCTTCCCCACTTACTGTAACCTCCATTAAGATATTGATCATAGCTGATGTCTGCGCTCTATTGGGACAGCAGCGCATGAAACAGACAGCGCTGCACTCAGTGTTATCGATCAGTCAGTGTGTGCGGGCAGACATTTACCTTTTCGCAAACCTGTGTGCGCATTGACATGATAGATAAAGAGTAGAGCTACTGATTCAAAAGCCTCCCAGGAAAAAATGCAAAACAAGAAGAGCAAACTCAACAAGGTGAGGAGAGTTATCACTGGGACATGGAAGCAAAATACAGAACAAGAAAGCACAGGTGAGATATGGGTGCCTGTTAGCGTGTGTCAAAGCTATATCAAGGTTAAAGTGTTGCAGCCCGCCTGAAAATGTGTCTTTTCGTGCCATCTGTTAACTGCAGGAGAAACGCTGAATCTCATTCACACAGATAAAAGGGACCTGGAGTCAGCACAGAACAGAAAGCCGTGGGAGTGTGAGAGGAGGAAGAAAGGATGGAGACAGATTCAGCCTCTCTGGAATAAACAGGCACCTGATGTCAACATGTATCCTCCAGGAGCAGCAACCGGTCTGGCATGGAGACAAACCAGTAAACGTGACACAGAGAAGGTGAGTCGGAGGGGGTTTTAAAAAGGTAAATAGATAAAAAAAAAAAGAAAGAAAGCACAGAGCTAGAGGGCAGATTTTATTTGCATATATGTATGCATCAGTAGTCCATTATAAGGAAGGGAAATATTATGTCAAATATTTTATATTGACCTTAAAACAGTACCTCACTGCCATAAATCAAAAAAGAAACATGCCGCTATTGTTTACTGAATTTTTATTACCAACCTCGAATTTGAGTAACAAATGAAGACCCACCTCGGTATCCTTATGAACCTTTCTCACTATACCCTTTAACAGACAGCTTATAAACTCTTGTGCCACTTAATGCATTGGTCAAAATTTCCAGTTAGGTATCTCAAAACTTTGATTACTTAGAAGTCAGTAAGTTGACATTTTGAGACACCTAACTCAAAATGTCAACATTTATCTCTGCTGACTGATAGTGACCAGAAAGGTGGAACCAAAGACAGAAGGCAGGAGAGAGTTCATGAACTGCAAAAGCAAGCTTTAGTGGCAGCTATCCAAGTTCAAAACACAAGAAACTAAAATAAGCAAACAGACGATGTGATAAAAGATGAAAGAAAGACAGAAGACTGACAAATAATGAGAAACAGGGGGAGAGGCACACAGGGGAACACAGTCAGCAACAGGTAAAAATCATTAGGGAAGGCAGACAGGAAGCAAAACATAAAGAAAACAATCTTCAAAGTTAAAGCCGGTAATGATTTAAAGAGGCTGACAGATACCAACAGTAACACTTAGCAAGATGACACAGAGAAGGAAGCGGAGAGGGACCAAAGCATAAACACAGAAATGCAACAGAGAGAAGCACAAAAAGAAACACCAGAAATGTGCTAATAAAACAATAATAGAACCAAAACAACTTCTATTAAAAACTCTAAGACAGGGGTAGGCAACTCCAGGCCTCGAGTGCCGGTGTCCTGCAGGTTTTAGATGTATCCTTGATCCAACACAACTGATTTAATGGCTAAATTACCTCCTCAACATGTCTTGAAGTTCTCCAAAGGCCTGGTAATGAACTAAGCATTTGATTCAGGTGAGTTGCCTACCCTGCTCTAAGATAATAAAATAAAATAAAACAGCTACACACTTAACAACACCACAACTAAGACTTGTAATATCCTAGAATTATAAAAGAAACAAACAGAATCTCGAACTTAAACACATTAAGTAAAGAACTCAAAACAAGTATCGAAGGCAAACAGTAGGGACCGTGACAGTTAGATCCTGACTGATCCTGTCTCAGTATTGGAGATAAGTAAGTAATTTTGCCACCTTTGTGCCACATGAATGCATGCTTGTACTTCTCTAACTTTGGAAACGCACATGGCTGGATCATAGATGAATATTTGTTTTCCCAAAAAGGAGTTCAAATTGCACATGTATAAGCTGCACAGTATAGCCTGCCTATCTGTGCAACAGCTGTGCTTTGTGGTCATTTCTTTTGTCCTGTCTTCCTCCCCTCACCACCAACCGGCCCCTCCCTGAGCGTGGTTCTGCCAGAGGCTTCTTCCTGTTAAATATAAGTTTTTCCTTCCCACTGCCACCAAGTGCTTCCTCATAGAGGGTCATCTGATTGTTGGGTTTTCTCTGTATTATTGTAGGCTCTTTAAATTACAATATAAAGCATCTTGAGGCGATTGTTGTTGTGATTTGGTGCTATACAAATAAAACTGAGCTGAATTGAATTTCTGTATTATGTGAGCTTCATCAAATGATTACATTGAGTTTAAGGAAAGAAGGAAAGGTTTCCATTACATCCTGTGTCAACAAAAACTAAAGTTTTCCTTGGACATTTTGGCACAATATGAATGAATTTACGCAGGTAATACATTAAATCACAGTGTGGACTAGCCCCTCAAAGTACTTTTTCCATCCTTTATCATCCCTTCACTCATAAGTACCTTTCCATCTCTATCCTTGAGTTTCCTAACCTGCTGCACATCCTTTCCAGCTTGATCTCTCTGCTTAGCCAATCAATACAAGTAATTTTCCTTCCTTAGTGTCCAGCCTCACATAGAACTCACTACAAGCCTTTTCCTTTGCCTCTTCTATTTTCTACACATAGCCTCCCAGTACTCCTGCCTACTCTCTTCAGCAATCTGACAATCTAACTTTTGCTTTGCTAACCTCTTCCTTTAAATGCTGTCCTATACTTCCTCATTCCACTGCACTTACAGACAACACTACAGCCAGAAGGTGTTGGTTAAAAGTGTTTATTAGAGCTTAAAAGTGAATACATGCATAACTCCTAATATGCACTATGATCCAGAAAGCATTAAGTTTAAAAGGTTTATCACAATGTGCTCTTTCTGTACTAGATTGGTATTTTTTTTTTTATAAGACAAAACAAAAGAGGACCAACCTGCATGCACAATCTTACCCTAATGAACATTTTGCTGTTTGTCATGTTAAACAATCCTACCTCTCATAAAGTGACCCACCAATTTCCAATTCAAGGACATTAGAGTTAAATCAGGGCTGCAACAGAACTGGAGGAGCAACCTCATCACCTGTGATTCACCTATGGCCCAGGAAGAACAGAGCTCCACCATCTGAACACAGCAGATGGTAAAGACTGAAAACCAAGTGACCAGAGGTACAGGCACCTGACCTATCAGAGCAGGCGCTCAGTAATGCTCACTCTGGCACAAGCAAAGAACATCTGGCATAAGAAGGATTAAGGCTGGGGGGAAAGAGAGAGCCACGGGGACATGGGACATGAGACTAACAATGAGACTGGCTCTCAAGAAGAAAAAATGGCTTGATGGAGTGGAGACAGAGGTGAGGAAAAGGCAAAATGGAGAGTTTTTAGAGTTTTTAGGAGCATTAAAGCCAGAAATCACACCAGGGTGAGCAATCATCAAAAAGATAGAAGAGATAAGAAAGAGTATCCTAACATAGGAGGCTCTGTAATCCTCGCTGCAGCATTTCCCCCCCTCAGCAGGACGTTCATGCTATGTTGGCTACCGTACGGACCCCTTCCCTCCTTTGGCAACACACTCAGAAACACCCACACACACACTGTCCACTCAGCACTCTAAGCATATCCCACAGCCACATGCTGAGGGAATCTGTTTCATAACAGGACCCTTTGTCTCCCTCTCTGTCACACACACTCTGTGCGCAATGGAAGACGAGAAAACACGCACACAGGCGCGGATGCCCTACCGTTCGGGGATGAGGGCAGGTGTGTTCAAGCTCCTCCATTATTCCCAAAGACTCATGGGATGCAGCTGTGGTCCCTCTGATATGTGACTCAGCATCAGTGAAACGATGCCTCTCCTCACCACTCTGTCTCCTTCCTCTGTTCCCCCGCCCACTCTCCGCTCTCCTTCTCTGTCTGTCCTCTCCTCCTCATCTGATCCTCTCTGCTGCAGAGACGCAGACTCATGGCAGAGGCCTCACTCTGACTATTTTTTTGGAAAAAAAATTTTGCCTTCCGCGTTTTAATAGCAATTTTAAAAGCCTCAAGCGCCGTCTGTTAAATCACAGTTATGTTCCCTTTAGTCTTGCGCCATATTAAAGCTTTAACATAAAAGACTTCTCCG